TTAATAAAATTTTTATTTTTTTTCATGTTTCTTTGTTCAATTATTTCCAGTGATCTGCAAGTGTCCTTATATTTATGTCCAGTGAGTGTATGTAAATGATTAGAACAATAAATAACAACAATAATGATTATAGTGATGTTATTAAATATAAGTTAAAATAAAAAGATAAATTTATATAAACAATTGAATGATTGATAAAACCTTTGTTAGTATACTTTGTTCATAGACCCTATCCTTAAAGCTTACTTTGATTACTCCTACACAAACTATTAATAATTGATAAACGTTTGTTAGAATATTTTGCAAACTTCATAGATCTTGTCCTTAAAACTATTGAATAATTGATAAAACATTTGTTAGAATACTTTGCAAGCTTCATAGATCTTGCCTGTCCTTAAAACTTACTTTGATTATTCCTACATAAACTATTGAATAATTAATAAAATGTTCATTAGAATATTTTGTAAGCTTCATAGATCTTGACCTTAACACTTGTACAAACTATTGAATAATTGATAAAATGTTCATTAGAATATTTTGTAAGCTTCATAGATCTTGTCCCTAACAGTCGCAGGACATTGCAGATCTACAGGGGGTCAAGTGTCACTCACTAATAAATTTTTTTTGATCAACACGGAATTTTATATGAAAAATGAAGAAAAAAATCACACTTTCATACACAAACTTTCCCGATTTAATCAAATTGTTACTTGGATCATAAAAAATAACGAATATGTGAAAAAACCTTTATTTTGATGTATTTTTTGCCAGGGTAAACAAATACCACTAAGCAATAATCTTAACATGAAGTTGGACTACCAGTTCTATAAGTTCTATAATAATAATAAATTAAGAAATTGGATAACATGCACGATTTCACATTGGGCTTAATTTTTTTTACATAATAACAATAAAATGCAATAGTTAAGTTCTAATTTCCAACCTTTAAATGTTTATTTTTTTTAAATTACATAATTTGTTTATAGAAAAGTATTAACTTCAAATTTGCTTTTTAAAGATTATTTTCATAATAATAATAAACATTTTACCTAATAATATTAATATATTAATATATATTGCTGGATGAAATAGAAGATTGTATCAAACAAAATTTATTTAATATTTTCAAACAAAAACAAATTTGCATAACAGACTCTTTTCAAGAATGGCTATTAATAAAATGGAATTAATTTGGTTTTTTTAATGTTAGCTTCATTAATTTTTATTTCATATATTTTTTACACATATTTAGAAGTGTAATGATTAAATTAAAAAGTATTTATTTATTAATGCATTACAAGGATCTGATGGGGATGTTATTAATATCTGTTATGCAATCATCTTTTTTTTATTATTAATTATTTATTTTTAGAAAATAGGAATTATTTGTATTTGGTATATTATTATTCAATTTAATGAATTTAATTATCAGATCATGTTAAATATTAACAAAATATATTTATATTGGGCAAGTTATAATGATGATAATAATTTTATTTATTACCAACTTGTATCCATGGCATTATGATTATTGCCACTACCACAATCATTAACACCACTACTACCACCATCACCATCACTACCACTACCATCATTACCACCACAACCCTTTAGAGCTTTATTCCGAAATATTCAAACCTTGCTTGATGTACTATGCCAAAGGTCTATTATTAATAAATAAATTTCTTTATTGTTAATTATTATTTCTCCAATTCTTTGTATTCATAATTATCAAACAATAAATT